AACGTAGATATCCGAGGTGCCGCAAGAAGTTCTTCTTAATCGCCACCTCATCGCGGCACGGATGCACCTTCTGCTTGATGAACTCTTCTGCGAAGACTTCGGCGACGGAGAGGTTCCAGGGCGTATGTGGCATGCCCACAAGGTCCGGCCGAAAGTTGTCCGCTGTGCAGCATCTACCGAACGAAGGGTTGAAGTCGCGAAGCTCCTCCTTGGTGGGGAGCCGCGTCGAGTCGGAGTCATCCTCACCGGTGCCCTTCATCAGCGTCTTGGCGAGTGTACGCACCGCCTTCTGCGACGAGTGTCAGATCCCATACACGCCCTCATAATTGGAGCGTACCAGAAACTTCTTTCGCTGCGGATCTTGCTCAACAGGAGGACCCTGTAGCTTCGGCTTCTTGCCCTTCCTCGACGGTATCGGGATCGCCGCTTCCTCGTCGTCAGCCAACTCGCCGTCGTCGATGTCCATCTCATCTTCCGCATTGGTGCGTCGACCTGGACGAGACGTGCTCGGCGCTGCCTTTCGCGAACCGGCCATTGCCGCGAGCGCATCAGCTTGCTTCTCTTGGACCGTCTTCATGTCTCGCAGCACAGATGCCTGCTGGTCCGCCATCACTTTCATGGTGTTTCCGATACCTACCATAGCATGACCAAGTGTGGTGAGCTCTGTGTGCATACTACCGAACTCAGCACGCATGGCATTGACCTGCGATGATGTCAGCGACAGGAACTACACAGCGCATTCACTGTCACGTTACCAGCGGATTAAGGTCAAGCTGTATCGTACTGGGGCTACGTCCGTTGCCGTCTGGAGGTGCGTTGTTCTGAGGGGACTGTCCGTTACCAGCCGCCGGAGGTCCAGAAGCGGAAGTAGAACCAGTAGCCGTGCGTTGCGAGGATCCACTATCCATGGTCGCGTGTTTGGGGGCGGTAGTTGTATTAGGAATAGGGGCGAATGGGGACTTTCTGCGCGGGGCAGATCCGTCGTCGGAGATGGTAGCTTGATCAGACCAGAGATTGAGTGCCCTTCAACTATCTGGAGGGAAAAATAACCACACCGGAAGGAGACAAGCGGGCAGGGTCACTTTCGTTGGCCGTTGGCTCCTCTGCGGGTACGGGTTTCGTTCGCTTGCGCGCGGGAGAGTCGTCACCGGTAGTATTGCCCTCGCTGTCCGAGTTATCACGGCCTTTGCGCTTCTGCTGACCAGGTCTAATACGAAAGAGGATGAACAGATTAGCGATACGCGAAGCAAGGAATTATCTTACTGGGCGGCGGGTGGAACGTTCGTGTCCTGCGCTACGTTCGAGGCTGGGGAGGGTGCTCGAGCATGAGATGGTGATAAAGGTGCCAAGGATACACCTTACCTGTACCGTTCTGTGGATGACTCGCAAGGTTCACGGGAGCAGGCTGTGTAGTGGGAGGCTGAAACCACTGGTCCGTCAATACCTCGTCGCACACCAACACCGCAAGCACGTACGTCCTGACGTATGAAGTTGTCTTCCCGGAGCAGTTCCTCTGTACAAAGGGAGTGTAGAGAAAGCCAGAAGTTAATCTTTGCGAGTGATATGACAGTCTACTACGAACCTGCGGGGTCTTGAAGCGGCTGAGCACCACTCGACATGCAATCGCAGGTTGAAGAGAAGGCGGTTCGGAGCAATTAGCTAGGTCGGCGAGAGAAGGAGAGATGAGAGGGCTAGCCGGGGAGGAAATCTGCAAGAGGTGATGGCGAGTGGCGACCTTTGTCTCGCCACGAGGTCGGAGTCTGATCGACCCCAGCGCTCGTAGTACACATATTGACTTCCAGGAGGTCACGACGGTGCACATTCCACGAAGCAGTAGCGAAGATATATCATGCAGGTCTCTCCGCATCATGCTCTTCACCACGCGCGAAGCGTTTAGAACGCTTGAAGGCGAGCTGCAGCTCGCGTTGTAGAAGAGACATAGAACATCTACCGCCCATGCACGCTGGTCTATAGCGCTCGACAATGAAGCTCAAGATGTCGTATTGTTCTGGTGCTGTGAGCCGTCGGCAATAGCAGTCAGAGTATGAGAGATATTGAAGCTGCAGCACTTGCAATAGAAGCGCAAAGGACGACGCTCACACTGACGTCTGCTCTCAGGTGCGTCCTTCGCACGGCGTCAGACACCAATCCTAGATGCCAACTGATCCGTAGGGGAATACCAAGACTCAAGCGCGGTAAATCCCGCGTATGCGACATCGCGACATCGCTGGGAGACAGCCCACCCGCGCAAATTCGGAGGAAGACCAGACGCACGCCGCACGACGACCCGCGAGGCCATCTCCACGACGTCTACCCTGAGACATCTGACAATGCACTCGGGGAGCTGGGTCAAGCGGAGAGGCACTCCGACTAGTCGAGGCTCAAACGCAGTCACCGCTAGCTGCGCAGGACGATTCCGGGGCCGCGCTCTGCACTCCGCGCTTCTGTGCGCTATGGCCCGGCGAGTCGTCTGTCGTACGCATCATCCCGTCAGCGAAGTCCAAGCAGGATGTGAGCGGACGTACTCACCGCCTGGCTGCAATGTGCACCTGATGTCTGCCGCAGTAGCTCTTGTGCGTCGTGCGTGTCGTCCCCGCTACAGATAGCCCGCCGACGCCGACGTGGATGCGATCATACGCATGCGGCCTTCGTGTGTGAGCAAGTGCGCTGTATTGCTATGTCGAATGTAGCTGCGGTCGCCGAGTCTGGTTAAGATACAACGTAGAACTTGGTAGACGTAGTGGGAGGAGGAGGGAGACAGACGCGTGAATCAGCGGCCACGCTCCCTGGCGCCAGGTCTGCACTTGTCCCCTTATGGCAACTTCGTTCGGGGCCGCAGCTGGCGGCAGTCGGCCACTCACCCGGATCGCCATCGCCGTCGCCCATCCATACACACACGAATGATAATGCAGCCATACGTACCGCATTTCTGGCACTTCGTATATCTCCCAATTCCTCAAGAGGCTTGTCGTGCTTTCCTGGCACATCTCATTTTTTCGCGGCTCGTAGTACTTACTCTGTCGCTCCGTCGTACGACAAGAAACCTTGGAGCCTATGTCCGCCCATCCACATCTCGTAGTCCAAGTAATATGGTTCACTTATATGTGAAACCGTGATCTTACACAGAGCGCGCGCAGAGAACGAAGCGCTGCGGGGGGTGGTGACTTCATGTCTTAGCGTCCGAGTCGTGCGCAGGCACAACATGTCGGGACTCTACATCGACATATGACTGGATTAAGAACAAGTGTCAGATAATTCTGCACACAGCTCGATAGCAACTTGACCACAATACGTACTGAGATCGTTGTATCTTTTGTCCAAAGAGACGGTCTGGTCCAACATATACATTAGTCGGGCGCCTAACAAATACGCGCTGCTAAGTCTGCGCAGTCGGTAGCTCTGGACGCGCCAGACATGCTCTTATGCCGAAGGCGCAGAGTTGCGTTGTGCGTATACAGAAACCACGAGATCATCATTGTCCTTGACAGATACATCGAATTTGAAACATAATCCACGATAGGCAAATACACGACCGGCATAGATAGCGAAGGTGGCTGATGGTCACGCATAGCAAACGACGACACTTGAGACATTGACTGCAACGTACGCTCCTTCCATCCGCCTTCTGTGATGCGCTAGGGCTACGCTCCAAATCGTGCTGGCGTTGTGTCGCTCCTTGCGGCGAATGGAGAGTCGCGCGACGGGGCGATGCACTTGTCTTGTTTGTCGTTCGACCATTCGCTGAGCAGGGATTTGCACCCCTCAAGCAATGCGCCAAACACGTCGCTGATACTGGGTGGAAGGAGAAGCTTGGACAAGCTGATAATGATTCCGAGCTAACAGATACTTAGCAGAGTGCTCGACAACCAGAATGTTACGCTCACCAGGTCCATGGCGAACGGCAAAATCAAGTTCCAGGGTACGAAGGCAGCGATCCACAAAACTAGCAAGCCCCCTATTGGCCATTTTACGAAAGCCATGACCTGTAGGAAACGAACGCGCGCCACGGCACATACAAGCAAGACGTACAGCCGCAGCTGCGCTCTGATATTCTATGAGAAGCGTGCGTGAGCGGTTCTACATCCCAACAGATCGCACGTACGTTGACGCTCTCGACGAGTTCTCCGACCGGCGTGATGATTTCGAATGCCTCCGCCGGCTTGGCGTCTTGGAGGAAAATCAATAACATGCATGGCAAGGTAGGGAAGGGAACGCACGTACCAGTCACAGACGCTCTCCACAACCTGATGTAGGTGTCCTGACCAAGGCGTGCACTCCCTGCAGCAATGTAGAGATGATTGCCACGACTTATCGTCTGTTAACTACTGTCAGGAAGAGCAGGATAGACCGCGTGAAGATAGACTTACATCCACTGCCATGATGGTATGGTCTGTGAATTGTTAGCTAGCGGCATGGGCTGTACGTAACACGGCAACGAAATCTCACCATCGTGCATGAGCTCCTGGAATATTTGCCCGCTTTCTACCATCCACACACAAACGTCGCCAGTCGTAGTGCCACAAACAAGCCTCTGCCCGTTCATGGCGTACGCTACTTGAACCCGGGAGCGACTCTGCGGCGTCTTGTTGTGATTGTAGCGCTTCAGGAGGACCCTGTCGTCCCCCGCCCCGGTATAATAGACGTTCACTCCGGTGAAGATGTTGTGCAGGGCCAGATTGTTTCCAAGCGGGCTGAGGGCGGACGACCCTCTGGACATACATGTCAACATTCAGGACAACACATTAGACGGATCGGAAGACGAACATGTTCAGTGTCTGCGGGGAAGGGTCGATCTTCCATAGAACTGCGTGAGAGGTGGTATCGAAGCAGCTATGACGTCCAGCGTACTTCATGTTAATCGTTGTCAATCGCAAGGGAAGCAGCGCAACTTACATAACGCCATCGAACAAGTACGACACAATCAACTCTTTTCCTTTGGCTCGGAAGTGAAGGCTCATCGCCCGTAGACGACGTTCGCCCTGGTCCTCCTCGGGAGCGCCCGCAGGGGCCGGCATCTTGATCGACATGGCATACTCATCTGAAATGAAGTATAAACACTGAACACGACGAGAGCGCACAAACAAACACACACCTCGCTGCTCCTCTCTGGTGAGATGCACCTCCCTTCCGAGGGAAAGAGCGAGATATCGACTGCTTTGATCATATGCCATACTGTGAACATTACTGCGCACACTGAGTTGTATGTCGCGCTGTACACTGTTGGCCTAGTAGATCGAATCATTAATGAGCACACAACCGGCAGCTTGGATGAGATGACTGACCAAGGAAAACTCATGAACCGAAAACACCCTTCCGTCGTCGCAACCAACAATGAGCGTGTCGGGATAGATGGGATGCCATACCAAAGCGGACACGTTGCTCTTGAACAATACTCTGAAGAGCATACGCCCATCGTCCACACTCCAGAGCATGAGAGCGCAATCGTCTCCCCCACTGGCCAACAAATCACCACCCGGAGAGAAGCGAAGACAGTTGATGGTATCGCTGTGGCCGGGCTTCAGATCGTGCAGGGCGATATAGGCGGTCGTTGCAACAGGGGACGGCGACATCGCTGCAGGCAGGTTGTCGAGGGGAGGAGGTACCAGGATTGTGCCGGAGGTCGACGTCGCAGCAACAAAGAGGTGGGAGCTGTCTTACACCACGTTATAGACGCCGCGTGGCGGTCGCGCCTTTGCGGAGACCTTGTGGCAGTTCCTGTACATTCACGTGCATAACCCAAATGATGATCAGCGAAACTTGCGCGAAAACTCTCGATAGGCCGCTGTGATTTGTTTCCGCTCGCTGGAGACGCACTAGGACTTATATGGCATGGAAGATAAAGCAGCCGGGTGCTCGACGCCCAGCGATCAGCAGTCCATCTTCTCCTGAATGGCTGCAATCCACGCCCTAGGGTTTCGCTATTATCATAGGCTCATTTCTATATGGAACTAATAAGTACTGCTCACTCATTTAATCTTTGAAATCCGGTTTCGCAGCGGCCGCCACTCATAGGGCCTATTCGCACGATCCTAAGGATACACGTTACAGGCAGGTGTGTGGATGCGTGCACTGTGTGACTGTCTCCTTGTATACGCAAATACAGGCGCGTATCAGAACTCTACCGCAGGTAGGCTCGTATGCAACGAAGCCGAGCTGAGCCCACTCGGAACTGATGAATCGCGTGCAGTACTATCTCAAAGACGGCATGATCACGTTGGGATGCAGCAGACCTGATTGGGGCGCGCCAACCAAACACATCAAGAGAGGAGCTCGCTATCAGGACACGGTTCATGCCGCGCGCGAGAGCACAACGACTCACGCGCGGCACGAACGGCGCAGCAGTCGTCTCAAACCCCTAGGAGACTGTCCTGTGCTAGTTCCAGGGAACTGAAAAATTGCTTCCGCAAATGACGATGAAAATGTGTGGTCTTGCGGGAAGACTTCGGCGCGACCTGGTGCACCGGTTCTTACCGCGTGTGGTACCTTCAAGGGCTCTAAGCATCATATTTCGAGCCCGACTACACTGAGTAACTTAGGCTTCCAAGGGCGATGATGATATCGTCATGGGCATGCTTACGAAGTTGCACCTATGGGGCTCTGGCCTCACGGAGAAATCACGCTGACTGACTTGACCTTGGTCAATTTTGGTGAGCCCCTTCTCATGCGGGACACGTTGCGGGCCGATTCGTATTGGATTGGCGACGAGAGCAGCATTCATGAAAGGTGAAGGGCGCATAACGACGGAAACCGGCGTCCAAAAACGTTACTTTCCTCGTTCTGGGTATTATAGCCCGAAAATTCGGAAAGTCAGTGGACTTGGTACCGTCGACTCTGCGAGATTTCGTACTCTTACCATTATTAGCATATAGATTTGGTCTCGGGCCCTGACGGGTCAATGACCGCATATAGACTGGGAGACTCCATGCGTGTGTGTGTCTGTGTGTGCGAGAGAGAGAAGGGAGAAAGATGAGAGAGCGAGTGTGAGCTTGAGCGCTTGGGCGCCGAGCCTGCCCTAATCTGGTCAGTTACGCAACTCGAACGTTCGCAGACCCCCAAACCCAACATACTTATATCGGACGTCTCTAGAACCGCTGAGAGTGCGCGCGCAGTACATCCAAAGCTTCTAGCTTCACTAGTCACTCACAGCAGCTGCATGGTACGACTAAGGCATTAGGCATTAATCAATGCTGCCTCTGTTCACTGTACAACGAGTCACGAAGATGTTACTGGCTCTCATGCCCTTCGTATTGCCTGTTAGGTGTATCTGGTTAGTCCAGCCTCTGTCTACGGAACTAACACTCAACTACGAACTTTTCCGCGTTCGTATCGGACTAACCCTGATCTCATTCATCTAGGCGACATGTCACTGTTCCGTGGTGCTGCTCATCTGCCATGCGCTCAGCCTAGCTTCGCTCTCTAAAGCTGTCAGGCACAGGCAAATTGATAAGGCTCACGGAGTAGCCTGGCTCACACAAATGCGTCACATGCACGCCCGGCACCCTCGGGTCGCACTAAAAACCCCTCCTACCTTTGCATATTCCGTAAGTCCCCCTTCACGCCTCAGAAGTTCCTTATGTTGATACCTCCCGCCCCGCAATCAATCACTAGCACTAAGCGGGTTGGTCCACAACTTGCCACGGTTGCAGTCTTTGCACCTGCGCACGAACGGCTTCGCGAGTAGCGGCCACTGTGCGAAGCACTGGCAGAGCACGCACGACCTCGCACTCAGCATGTTGCATCCATCCCAACGTCCACGTACCACGCAGCCGAGCACCTCAGCCGCGGATACAAACCAGCAGACGCTTGAGGGCGCACCGTCGATACTACATCCTCCAGCCCGTCGAGGTTCCACTTCACGGCCGCCCCGCCGCTGCTACTGCTCCGTGCTCCTACTCCGTGGCATATCCCGCGATCCCGCCCTTCCTCCATCCACGCCCCACACGATGACCAGAAGTCGTATCCCAAGCATGCTGAGAACGGCTCGCAAACCCCGCGCGTGCCTGTGCCCATGTTTGGGTGGGTGCATGCTCTGGAATAGATCGACTGTAAAACTCGTCCCCCGATGTGCCGGGCACCTCGTCTTCTCCGTGCGCAGCATAACCACACGCAACACCCTTGCGGTTCACCACAACTGGCGCCGCACCCCCGTGGACGTTGGGGAATCAGGTGGTGGTAGCAACTGTGGGACCACCATTGACGAAGGCTGCGACTGGCTCCCGGCTTCGCTAAGTACATCCTCAATCTGTCTGCTGATGGCCTCCAGGGCGAGTACGACAACCTGCGTTTCTCCCGCTTCAGATTCCTCAAGAGCTCCTGCGATGACTTCTTATGTAGCAAAAAGCCCAAACAATGCGCCCGCGAGCGACGTCGAGGGGACCACCTACTAAGTCCGTGCCATGTCTTCGCGATGCACCATCACGTCCTTCTCTCCGCCTCAACCGACTCTCCGGTATCCTCGGGCTCGGAACCCATACGAGGGCTCCGCCAGACTCTCCCCGTGATCCCGTAGTCCGTGCACTCGGGCACGGCAATCTGCGCACACATCGTTGCAACACGCCGCCTCAAATTGGGTGCGTTTCGACCATCGTGGACTGCCATCTCTCCCGTGCGTACCACCCAGAAGCAACGTGCCAAATGTTGGTTTCAATCTGCTCTAGCAGTGGTTGCGTGACGAAGACCTTCATTGGTGAGTATGGTATCGTGTACAGCGATGCGACAAAGTACAATGACTACATCAACAAGGTTTATTATTCGCGCAGATCAAGCAGATATCCGAGAGCTCATCGCTGTGACCATGCCACCGACCTCCATGTGTAAAAGTAAACATCGCATGGTACTTCACAAACGCGTAAAACGCTCATCGCGCGACAAGACCCTATATGGTACAAACAAGCAGACCATCAAGGTAGGGTCCACTTCAGTCCATTTCGCAAATGGTAACCTATCTTAGGACCGCGTCTTTGCACACGGGGCCACGAGAAATCTAGACGATATGAGTCTCAGCGTCGGCGCGTCGGCATTTGCGAGCTTCGCCCTCGTGCTACACCTCGCTAATAAGGCCGTCAAGTCTGGCCTTGTCTTTACCGTCGTGCTCAGAGCTGAGTTCATGATGCGCGGCATCGGGACGTCGTTCAGGGTCTGTGTCTTGCAAATGGCCTGTAGCAGGCGCTTCCGCCTACTGTGGCGCGCAGGCGACCGCGGAGGTGAGTGGGGATTTATATGTTAGAACGACTGAGCCGGAGAAATGCCGCGATGTACCCGCCTGTGTATGTGTGCGCCGGCGGAGGGTTATGGAGTACGTGGTGAGGAGCGGGAAGCGCTGAGATCATGTGCACTGGGGAGGTGCCTGCTTGATTCGATGCCGCACGATTGAAGCAACGGGTGCCAGAAAATGGTCAGCTCGTACGAACATGCGCCCCATCGTGAACTGAAAATCTACAAAATTGGCCGAGGCACAAGTCTATAGGGCGACTTATCCGGGAAGTTGCCTGGCATCTTTGGGCGGCAACATCCATGGCTCTCGGCATCTTTGGGCTTGGGGACTCTATTGATGACTAGGATGCACGGCTCGCTCACTCTCCTCTTTGCTAGATGCTCCACGAGAACGACAAGCCAACAGGGACGAGGTGGCGGTCAGACTACACCTATCACACGAAATATACGGCTGACATTCCCAATTACAAGCTTCGGCGTGACTGGGCTGATGGCAAAAGGCCCTGACTTGCGCTCTCTCACTTGGGAGAGAGATGCAGCAGATCAGGTTGACAACATTTTGCGCGCTATGGAATGGCAGTCCTACAGCCAGATTCCAAAAGTTTACCCACGGAGAGCCCGAACTTCGCCATCGGAACTGAGACCTGCGAATTACGCGCCACTCTGAACGCCCTCGTGGTGACGCTGCCCGCGGACCAGCACGACCAGCTCACAGCGCGTATAAGTTAGGTAAATTAAATCCATCTGTGCATTTCCACTGGCTCGAACCGTTCTGAACGTCATTGGCGCCTGCCCCGGCGTCAACGTCCACAACTTGAAGCTCGCTCCAAGTACGCACTCAACATACTCGCTGCCAATGCTCGCTACTTCTGCGCTCTGGGAACTCTCACCTGCGATGCGCACATTCTCCATATCGATGAGAATGCATTTGGGCTGGAGAAAGCATGTATCGACGATGCGTTTGGTACCCTCAGCAGGAAGGTTGGGGTGCGGACGGCCTCCGTCCTCGGCGCGATCCGATTGGTCTTGTGACACAATTTTGGGCGACAATAACAAGCTCAAGCAGACACTTGGCCCATGGCCCGCATACAGTCACCTATCGTTCCAGCCCCCAGCCAAGCAATCCTTTTTTGCGCCGCTCTTCAACGAACTCTTTCCCTGCCGCACGCCGTCCTTACCAGCTTGTTCCGGTACCCTCGGCTCTGCTTCCAGTCAAATGTACATTTCCATGGTCAGACATCTCTGTACGCTGGGAGATCACGGGCCACGAGGTGGGCGACTCTTTGTGGTCCCTCCGAACGTTCCTATCGCACCCATACATGCACGTCCCGAGATGCAGGTAAATGAGCTGTTAGTGGTCACGACCCGCCTTATGTGAAGCTAGAGCTTGCAAGAGGACGGTACTCAGTGTACGCAGGGACGGCCGGTCGCGCGCGAGAGGCCGCCAGCGCGCGATGATTGGTGGGAACGTCCTACAGTGCATAGCCACCGAGGGCCGACTAGCTACTTAATCCGTCGTATCATCTTTCAAGCTAAAGACCGAACAGTTCACAGGACTAATCCGCGTCAATGAAACAATATTCATTCCTCTTATTCGTGCAAGGCCTCACAAAAAAAGCTAGCTCAATCATCGAAGTAGGTTGGATCCAAGAAGAGGACATTCTCGCGAGTCCGGACCAGTCGCCCGATCGCCTCCTCGTTCTAATGAGTCCAGGGTACCATTAACAACTTGGTAACGGCGCGGAGGCAAACACTCACTTGCTCTCTGAGGTCCTCGAGCACATTCGTATGTTCACGGACCTTCGAAAAAAAATTCATATCAGTCGTCTGACTTTAGCCGAATTCGTGCGTCGGAAGCGCACCAAATCAGGTAGACCCCGGATATCCCAGAGGCGTGCGGGTGAGGCATGTCCTTGAAACGCTGCCACAATTTGACCCAAAATTGCAGCAAGGCGCAGATATTCCGCTCGCAGCTTATGACGTACGCGACAACGGCTAGTTAGAATATCGTTGTTGGAAAAGGGCGGTACACGAGCTTACAGCGGCTTTTTCTCCGAGGCCATGCCCGCGGGGCACACAAATCCTTTCGCGCCAAGCCACATAACTGATCGCCATCATTCCCCGGTACGGAAGGACATGGTTAAAATCAACTCACAAGTCCTTGCCGTCCTCGCTCAGTATGACCATCTTGGTGTCGCCGATGGTTCGAAGTCTAAGACGATGAGCTTGGGCCTGTACATGCGAGGGTCTGAGTCGCGGAAGTGGAGAGGTAGCAAAAAGGAATGTACCTCCTTCACAACCACCTTGTGGATGTATTTAGTATAGTTTCTGCCGACGGGTTCATGAATGACTCGTTTTGCCGCGACGACTGCAACAGTACACGTTAGCGGCGGGTCCTACGAGAACAATGGGTACCTACTCCGGTCAACTAAGACGCTATACGCCACGGTGGTTTCCCCGGATTTGGCGAGTCTGGACAGAGTCTCCTCGACACCTGTGTCACAAAGGCAAGGGGTGATGTTTGAGCAAATGGCATGAAGAACTGAACGTGAGATCACTTACGTGCACGATAGGTGCGAGGAGGCATCGGAGCGTCCGAAAGCTAGATGAGTGTTTATTTGCGAGGGCCCGGGTGGGAGAGAAGTGGAGAGAGAGGACGAAGAGGAGGAAAGGGGGAGAGGATGCAAGGGGACAGAGGGTGGGTCGCAGCGTGGGCGACTCCATGCCAAGGCCGCGCCTGCAGGACCAGGGCAGGAGCCTTGCGATAAATCCCTGCAGCTCGCGCCGGACGGTGACAAGAAATTACGCAGTTCATGAAGCATGAGAAATCAATTTCGGAGTAAACTACCTTCTCACGGCGCCGCTAGTGAACACGAAGTGGTATGAAGGACGCTGCTAAGGTCACAGCTCGCTGCCTCCGGATACGTGATATGATGTCACAAGATGTGACCGGATGCCTACCATGGGACGAGGAAAGCGATTTCATGAACTGCCGGAGAGGGGACTCTCGAGTACGTGCAACCTTCATAAGGTTAGTTGACGCGATTGTTCGGGATCGTGCTCCATACTCGTGTTCAGGACAAAGGACTGCGCCCTCGGCTCTGGAGTAACGGGTCGGCAGCCCCGGACTGCCAGCCGGCTCCGACTCGATATCAATGTCGCGTGTTCACCACCGCAAGTCCTGGTGTGGGCGTGGTCAAGCAACGTGCTGTCTAGGCTACGCTT